CACAGAAATGACCCATTTAAATAACTTGCACCAATAGCAAACTGGAAAGATCCTCTTGTTGAGAATGTCGAGTGTAACACTGCGGAAGGTATTAGATACGGGTTAAACTCGAACTAAGAAAATGAAAAAGCAGTGGATAAAAACTTACAAGTTTCATTTGCTTCAGTTAATGGTGATTTCTTGATTCCATAACCAAGTATGTGCTTCTTAACGTTTTTAAGCCTGACGGTTGATCTCACTTATCAAACTCGGTCTGAAATCGTCCTTTATATTAACCTTTAACGGCTAAAAATAATCATCTCCGATAGTGGAGTGCCATTGCAGCCATTGGAGCACACCCTTGACCCATGAATTTGCAACTGTATTCACGTCTGACGCCTTTTGTACCAACTGATTGTTAAATACAACTGGAGCAGCTTATTGGAATTCTTTTTATTTTCTAACAGCAAGTTAACAAGTAATTCACGAAGTAGAAAATACGAAGTGACTTAACTACCACTTCTTTTTCTTTTTCATTTTTTTGCAAAAGAGTCTTGGTTTGAGCTGCGAACTATGCAGAAGACAGTATTGTTTCATTTAAAATAAAAAACAATAAAAATGAATAAAATCTAGATCAGCAGCATACAATATATACAATTTTGCAGCTAAAGCAAAATTGTAGGATAGCTCTATAAAAGCTAAAGAAGCGGCATATCATTCAGACAACAAATGAGTCATTCTTGGACCAATCGAACATCATGATCTGGGAGAACTGATCTTTTCGTTAAATCAAGCAATGTGTACAAAAATATTTTTTTCCGTTTATTTATTATTGTCTGTAATGGCTATTACCTGAACTGTTTCAAGTCAACAAACCAAACCAATCAGGGGTTCAGGTTTTATTTAAAAAAATCGAATAAGAGAGGGCACAAACAAAGCCCTTTAAATTAGGCCACTTTCACGATGACGACATTTGACTACAACTACCAGAATTCATTTCAGTTTTGCTTTCTTATTTACATTTACATGTAAATTTGCCAATACCGCTGAGATTTAGAAAACAATAGCCCTAATTAGCACAAAAAAACGACAAACTGAAGGATTCTGATAGTTGTAGTAAAATGGCGTCATCATGTAATTGTCTCAGTGTTTCTAATTGCATATCTTTAAAAATAGGTAATAAATTCGTTCTCTACCGGCAATCCATCGTTTGTTGAAGTAGTTGGCTATTTGTTTCAAGACTCAGAAACTCAAAAACAACCTCAAAAAATAATCTAAAAACAGTAATGAATAATTTCTTTGATACTGTAAATTAAAGGTCAGGTTTATCCATATTTGTTCGTATTAAGATATTGATCAAAGAATTATGTTCTAAAATATCTATTTAAAAATTAAAACGAAACAAAAACACAAAACAAAGAAATTAATTTTTGGTAGAGTTTATATATCGAGTGCCTCCGGGCAACAAAGATAAAAACTGTCGAGTATTTCTCTTCGTTGTTCCTGTTATGTTACGATACAGATTCCTTTCATTTCAGTTGTAACGGTTCATGTACTAGGGAAAAAAGGGTCCCTGAGTCTAGAACTCCTCAAGGCATGTCGCGTTTTCCTGAAAGAATGCACTTAAAATTTCTGGTTAATCCGGCTGAATGATTCACTCATTAAATAATAAAGTACAAAGCACTTTTCTTAAAATTAGGGTTAAGATAATAATCTCTATTTCGTGTTCTCAAAAGTTGTGGTGTAAGGCTATAAGCTTAAGACATTATACTTTTACACTTGGAATAAATGACAAAATTTAATAAAATCCGCGCAATCAAATGCGCAATTTTCTAGCTAGAGGAGTTTCAGTTACCCAGTAGCTCTAAATTAAAAATAAGTGAAAAGTTGGAGCCTAACGGAAGGCCTTCTTATATCTTGCTCGTTATGCAATAACGATACTCGGTTTGTTTAAGTCGTTGGCTAATTGTTTCAGAGCTGAAACTGCGATTTCTTTTAGTTCGAGGAATTTTATGCAACATTAACTTTCAATTGAATTTCATTATCAATTTTCCTAAACGATTTTTCCGTTTAGTGATTTCAACCATCTGGCTTTAAGCGAAAAAAAAAAGCACAATAAAAAAATGGAGAAAAGAAAAGAAAAAGAAATTTGGCTTTTAAATATCAATTTAAAAGCTGCTTGCAAGGATGAAATAAGTTGTAAAAGGTAGGAATTGCTAAAGTCCTGTATTCAAATCATTATCATACTTCAGTCTTTTGTTTAACACTTAAGGTAACACGACTAACTTCTTTCCTGTCTCCTGTGGTGAGTTTCTCTTAGGTGCAAGAACGTATTTTTAGTGAACAGTGAGTATATAATGCTGCAGGTCTTAAGACGTTTTTCAGTCAGTAATCAGGAAAGAAGTCTAGAGTTTTCAACGCCTTCGGAGAAGAGAAGTGAATATGCCGGAAAACTTTGTCAAACTGGTAAGACTAAATAACTTCGTCAATTAAATCTTCCCAATATCATCTTTCATGCTCATATCATAAGGCGATTCTGAGTAAGTAAAAAACATAATTCAAGTATGAAAATCAATAAGTTCTCTCGTTAAAATTTTCGTAAAACTATGAACGTGTCTTTTCTGGCAAGTGCACAAATTCCGTTTTGCAGAGAATCTATTTATAAGATCCCGAGAGAAAGGATGAAACAGAATGTCCATCTTGCTTACATACTGTCTTCATCCGGATTGGTCGAGATGCAGAAATGCTACGTTTGGCCTTCTTTCATCATTCAAGAGAACTAAACATAGTCAATCCAATATGAGCAATAGTGACAAAATCAGTTATTTCAGAAAAAAATTATTTTTAAAGCCCAAAGTAAGTTCGCTTGGTATAATTACAGAGTAAAAAGGAATTTACTTTTTTTGAATCTTTTCTTTGGATTCACTCAGGTCATCCACATCTTTGCAGTTACTTTTTGCTTGGCTATGATCCTTAGTTCTACAGGAAAAGGTGAAGCCAAACCCCAAGGTCCTACAGGTAAACACAACAATACCAAATGCAATCATATCACGATACCAAGGATCACTGCCAACTCTCCTGGGTATACACCAACCTCTACTAGGAAGACATGCATTGAAAAAATCATCCCAATTACTATTTGTAACAAAATGTACAATGTTGCACTTTGTAAGAAACAGAACGGCTGCAGTGGAGTCCCGAAGATGATAACTGTGACTTACCGAACATGCTGTAGAGGAAACCACACTACATCCGTTGCATTACCAGGCGGTTGTTCTTAAAGTGGAGGAGACTGTTGGTAGATTGTTCCCCATATACAATGAACAACATCAATTATCTGCATTTTGAACGTTGCAATAAGAATATAATATTTAATATAAAGTATCAGAGCCCCTCAAGAGGTATACAACAATGGTGTTAAAAAGATAAATATAAATAAAGTTTATGGGAAAAAAGACACAGAGCTTTCGTAGTTTCAAGGATTAATATTTTTTTCAGTTACGAACCTACCGGAAACGCTGTTATCTATCTACAACTCCTGGGCACGTCAAGGGTAAATTTGTCGTTGATCCATTTCCCAAAACTCAGGCAACGCCAGAAAGTGTCTACCTGAATTTACACACAAATAATGATAAAAAAAGATCGGCTGATTAGGTGCTTGTCAAGTTGAAAATTAAACTGAACAACGTGATTCGACGTTTCGGTGTTTCGAACATCATTACCAAGAATGAAAACCGTTACGGGACTTCAAGTCAACTCTTTTTTAAGTAGCTAAAACAACTTTGACATCTCAAGGTTTTTTATTCTTGATAATGATCTTCGAAACATAGAAACGCCCAATAACATTCCACAATTTAATTCATCTTGTTACAAATGATAGAACCAACGAACGGACAAATCTTCACAATGGTTACTTTTGTTCAATCGTACAGTGAAAGTGATGAAAAACGGATAATTTTAGAACGTGAGACCTCAGATGATCTAGCGTTAATATTTGGTTAAAGCTAAGACACTTATTAATATGAACAGCGGCACAACATTGCGTGGAGGGGATGGGAAGGGAAAAGCTTTACTTTCCTCTTTTGAAGTCAGTAAAACATCAGAGGGCCTTTAAGGGCGAAGTGTCTCAACTAATTTTGTCGCCGATTATAGTTATATTTTAAATTTTATGGTAATTTTTAGGCTTTTAACATTTCATATTTGATTGTACATATTTTCAAAGTTGTTTATTTTTTGTTATCAATGTGAGGCGCTTGTGGACTTAGGAAAAACGCCATATAAAAAAATTAATAGCCTGTTCCAGGCTCTCAGATAGTCAATCTCGTTCCCAGGGTTCTCTCCTACCCGCCTTACTCGCATTGTAGGGCGGGTAGGAGGGAACCCTAGCTAGGAACGAGGTTGTCAGATAGTAGGGATGACGAGTAAGTGTAAGGCGCGCGAAAATATAAGCGTGTGATCGCTTTCTCAATTTCGCGGACCCGATTATCTCGGAGCCTGGAAAAGGCTAAGGAATATTAATAATAATGATGATGATGATGATGATGATAATGATAATAATAATAATAATAATAATAATAATAATAATAATATATTATAATTATCATCATTATTACCATTATTATTATTATTACTATTATGATTATCCTCGCTTTGATTTCTCATGCTGTTGCTTTGTTGTTTTATAGACTTCGCCCCCTTCCACTCACCCTACGCCTAGGACTCCAGTATTCCGCATTCAAGATCCGTGAAATGCAAAGAAAACAAAAGTGAGAAAATATTTCAATATTTTATTATTCATATTCTTTTAAATTTTCATCATTTATATTTCAGTTTTAAAAACTAGAATTTGAAGCGTTAAAGATGCAAAATATTTCAATATTTTATTATTATTATTCTTTTAAATTTTCATCATTTTAGCTCATAAATAAGTTAACATAATTTTTAAAAACTAGAATTTGAAGTTGGATGTTGATGATCAGAAAGAAAGTCCGTCGAACGAGCTACCAACAGTCTCCGTCACTTCAAGAACAATCATACGGCAATGACACGGATGTGGTGTCGTTTCCTTTACAGCATGTTGGAAAAGTTACAATAATCTTTCTCTGGATTCCTTTACAACCGTTCTTTTTTCCCTTACAAAGTGCAACATTGTACATTTTGTTACAAATAGTAATTGGGATGATTTTTGCAATGCAAGTCTTCCTAGTAGAGGTTGGTGTATACCCACGAGAGTTGGCAGTGATTGGTATCGTGATATGATTGCATGTGGTGCTGTTGGTATTTCCAGTAGGACCTTGAGGTTTGGCTTCGACATATGAAGTAGGATTAAGAATGACAGCCAACGACAAAGTAACTGCAAATATGTGGATTACCTTATAAAGAAAAAGAAAATGATTTGCCACATGAAATTAGCTTTTAGACGTTTTTACGCTGGAACCACAGAGCAGTTTATTCTCTGATGCACTGTATTCTGCATGTTAACCGACACGAGAAAGACCGCACCTTTTCTTCCCTTTATTTAAGCCGAATACGCCAATTTTTCTTGGTTAACATAAAATAACATTAATTAATACAGCTCATTCAAAACTTTTTGCATCGTCATATACTACCACATGTATTCTGATCGAGTACATGGCATTCCCAATCTTTAGCTTCAAGAAAATTTCAAGAGAATCGGTCATTTCCGAGTTCCAAAGACTCTCACTTTCGAAACAAGGCCAAGTGCAAAAACTTACTTGTGAAAGAGAGTTTCATTTGCATGAAAATAAAAAAACAATGATTTTCATATTAATGGCTTTGCACTTAGCCTCGCTTTGAAACAGAGGCTTGAGGCAACTCGGAAATAGCCTACTCAAATAATTTGCACCAACAGCAAACTGGAAAAAACCTCTTGTTGAAGATGTCGTGTATAAGACTGGGGAAGGTATTAGATACGGTTAAAAATCGAACTTACTAAGAAAATGAGAAAGCAGTGGATAAAAACTTACCAGTTTCATTTGTTTTCTGTTCATGGTGATTTCTTGATTCCAGAACCAAGTATGTTCCTCTTAAAGTTTTTAAGCTTGACGTTTGATCTCACTTATCAAACTGAGTCTGAAATCGTCCTTTATATTAACCCTTACCGTCTAAAAATAATCATCCCCGACGTCCCCATTTTCCTCGTTATGCTGAAGGAACCACTTCTAATTGCTTTCAATGCTAAAGGAACAATTTCTTAGTAATTGGTTTCAATGATGTTACTGACGTAAATGAAGAATAAATATAGATAAACATCTACAAGAACCGTCAATTTGCAATAAGCTGAGTGATCGGGTGTTTCTTGGTGTTGTACAGGGCATTTTCAGTTGGTTACCAATATTGTTGTATTGTGGATATTTTTCGATGTCTTTTCATTCTTACATTACTTCTCCTAGTAAGAGGAAATCCGATGAACTGCTTTCTTATTTCAAAACTTATGACTTTAAAAAAGAGAGCATCATTGGTACTCCTGTTTTTGTTTTTTTTAGTTTTGGATGTACTAGTACTTCTCATTTTCTTCTCTCCGCACGTTTATGCAAAATTTAATTGTTGTAAGACCGTTGCAGTAGACTCTATTCTTTGCTGTGCCGGGTTCCGTATCAGATGCAAAATAAACTGAAATACTAAGATACACTGTTGACAATTGCTGCAATTATCAATTATCATGTTCAAAAAAGCATTGGAGCTTGTAACATTCTTGAAGCTGCTCCATGTACTGTAGCCTACGCAAGAAGATAAAATCCTGATCTCTGATGATACTCTGATTTTACTCTAAAACGAGGTCATCTAATTTTCAATTGCAGCACCTGTTAAAAGGTGCTGGTAAAATTGGTGGTAAAATTGGCAATAGCGAATGGATTGGTAATTGCATCAATAAAAATATTAGTCAACTTTAACCAGACACAATTACTTATTTTATTTCTCAATAATTATCAAAGTCTTTAATTTATTCACCACACAGTCAATAATGTCAATAATTCGGAACGCAAATGTTTCTGTCCTACCCCCAAAATAAAGTAATGTTGGTTATTTTTTGTTGTTTTGGCTGTTATGTGCACTGCCCAAGGTTAACAGAAAGAGTACTTACTTTTGCTATACTGATCAAATTTTATTGAAATACAACACCAAGTGTTTGATTCAACCAGTTGTGCAACTCTATCGAGTACAGCGACTTTTAAACAAGAAACTTCATTTTAGAATCCTCGATTTACATCTTCAAAGTATTATTTGATCAGGAAAGAAACTTCATTTTAGAATCTTTGATTTACTTCATTTTGCAGAGTATTATACGATCAGTCACATAGCAGTCAAATCTCATCAGATTATGCTAGCAATCAGTGAGACGAAAAAAATAACAAAAACTTAAAGTAAGAGCTTCAGGTTCCAAATAATCTGAAAAAGGGTGGATCGCCGTCATGCAAATGAAATTTCACATTCATCAAAAGTTGTGTTCTCGAAAGGAAAATTTGTCCGTACTAACAATAAAAAACGATTCAGGGAAGTGTTCGCAATTCTTTGCCCTAAGGCAGAAATGGTAAAAAAAAGAACGAAAAACAAGATCAAACCGGCTCTCTTCGTTCTTCCTGTTAGGTTACGATACAGACATATTTCACATCAACTAATTGCACCGTTTTGCCATTTGTATCGGGACCTTTTAGCCACTTTCTGTTTAACCTGAATGAAATGACAATGAATTTACAAGCAGTAGTAAAAATCAATTCTATGACTTTTACAGAGCGGAATTTGTACACATATAAAAAAAATTCAATTTCCTTTTCGAAACAATTATACTTGAGCTGCAAACTTTCTAGGAGTGGACAATATCGTTTGCTTCGAAATAAGGATATCAAATCATACACAAACTCATCATAAAATACATGAAACCCTTGCGTGCAGGCAGCGTTAGCTATCAACCGAGCTGCTTTAGTGACTGGTTTCTTTGTTAATTACAAAGTTGAAAATAAGCGTAGTAGGCTGGAGCCTAAGAAAAGGCTTCGAATCAATTGATCATTTAGATTATTGCTTGACCTCTTTCAGCAATCGCAGCTATGGAACTCAAGCTTTTAATTATAAATTAAAAACATCTCCGATAAGCCGTGTTGTAAAGTGTTGTTTGTCACCAGGAAAATCAATGGGCGAATCGACTTTTAGGCGAAATTAATGAACACAATGCAAGGTATCCATTAATCCGCTCATTTTGAACCGAAGTCTTCAACTTTGAAAATCCATGCTTCGTACGCTACTGACCACATGATTTTCTGTAAAGTCGGCTCAATGAACAGTGATGTCAATTAATTACAAGAAACATTTAACTGCATGTTACGGATGTTCTTATCCTGTTATTGTTCTTTATATCAATGTTTAAGTTTCAAACATTTTTCAGGAATTCTCTTGAATAAAAGAATGGTCGTCATTATGAGGTTTTAATCCAAGCTTTAATATTCAAAGAACGTCGAGAAGTGTCGCACTAAGAAAGTTTTTTAAGGTTTTCTACAAATTCTAGGTATATGTTGTCTCAAAAATTCCCATGCTTCCGATTTTGTAGTTGAAGTCCAGTGGAATTTTGGTATTGCTATAACAATTTCTCCCATTCTTTACTGTTGAGATTGAGTCTGAGTCAGTCCAGACTCATTGTCATTAATTCCAAGACTCAATTCTCTACTGGCTAAATTTATTTGGAATTAGTCCTAAGAATTCTTAGTTACTGTATGAAGCCATTTCCAGAAATTCCAAGCTTTTAAATTGTTCCTAATTTGAATGCTTTGGAATTACTGGGAATTCCTAATTCCCAGTTGTGTGTTAAGCCATTCCCAGAGATTCCCAGAAATTCCAAGTTTTTAATTCCTTCCTACTTTGCACGACTTGGAATTTCTGAAGTTTGAAGACTTTTCATGGGAGTTTCATGGCCCATGAATTTCGAAATTGGAATATTTATGAATTTAACGGACCATGAAACATATTGAATGACCCATGAAATGCAACTACTTGGTAACAAAAATTTTCATGGCCATGAGAAACGTTTTTCATGAGTTGTGTAAAAGACAGTTCTATAATTCATGGAAAATTGATGGCCCCGAACCATGGCCATGAAATTGACAATTGCACAATTTATGACCATAAAACAAGATTCATGGGTTTTTTTCAAGGGATTTTCATTAAATTCACGATTAATCCGGATACATGATTGATTCATTGGGTAACAAAGTACAAAGCACTTTTCTAAAACTTAGGGCCAGTTATTTGAACGGAGTCTAAACCGTGTTTCACAAAATCGCGTTCTATAATTAGCCATTTTCAGTTTGCCAAACGTTTTTATGAAAACACCATTTATTGTAAACAATTTCAACAACCTACATAGCGTAGACTAAAAAAGCACTAATTATTTTCTTAAATTAACTTACTAAGAAAGAGATCCGGGGGTCCAATGATTTCTTAAACCGCGCCTTTTTAAATAACCGACCCTTAGAGTTTAATAAAATAATCTAGATTTCGTATTCTCAAAAGTCATGGTTTGAGTTGCGAACTTTGCGGAAGACATTACATGTTTTTACTCAGAATAAATACCAAAATATAATAAAACCCGCAGCGATCAATATACAGTGCAATAATCTAGCTAAAGCAATTTCAATTACCCGGTAGCTCGAAGTTAAAAATAATTGAAAGGTTGGAGCCTGACGGAAGCCTGCCGGATGCTTGCTTGTTCTGCATCAACGATACTTGGTTTGTTTAAGTCGTTGGCTTAATGTTTCAGAGCTGAGACTGCGATTTCTTATAGTTCGACGGCCTTTATGCAACAGTAACTTTGAATTTCATAAGACATTATTAATTCGATTTTCCTAAACGATTTTTTCGTTTAATAAATTCATTTATCTGGCTTTAATTACAAAAAAGAAAGAAAAAAAAAAAACAAACGAAAAAGAAAAGAAATTTGGGTTTTAACTGTCACTTTGAAAACTGCTTGGAAGGATGAAATTAGTAGTAATGGATAGGAATTGTTAGTCCTGATTCAAATTATCATCATACATTAGTCTTTTGTTTAAAGCTTAAGGTAACACCACTACCTTCTTCCCTGCCTCTTGTGGTGAGTTTCTCTTATGTACAAGAACGTATTTTTAGTGAACAGTGAGTATATAATGCTGCCGGCCTTAGGACTTTTTTCATGAGTCAGTAATCAGGAAAGAATTCTGGTCGAATTTTCAACGCCAGTCGGAGAAGAGAAGTCACATGCACAATTTTGTCAAACTTGTAAGACTGAAATAACTTAGTCATTTAAATCTTCCTTATCATCTTTCAAGCTCATTTCTTAAGCCTTTTTTTTAAAGGCGATTCTGAATTAGTAACAGACATAGTTGAACTATGAAAATCAAAAACTTCTCTCTTTTAAAGTTCTTAAAAACCACGGATTTTTGTTTTCTGGCAAGTGCGCAAATTCCAACTTTTGTAGAGAGCCTACTAAAATAAATCCAGAAAAAACAAAACGAAAATGCATGCCCACCCTACACCTTCCTTACATAAAGTCTTCAGCCAGACTGGTGGAGGTGGAGTTATGTTACGTTTGGCTCTCTTTCATTATTCATGCGAACAAAACATTGTCAATCCAATATCAGCAATGTTTGTATAGGCAGTAGCATGATTTGTAGTGATATTTGGCCTACATACCACGAGTGATATTTCGAAATTTGAGACAGTTTTGAAATATCACGAGGTATTCATGCCAAATATCACGAACAAATCATGCTATTATTTGTTTATACTGCTACCCACAAAAGGTTTGTAATTGTCACATGTAGGTATTTCAAATAAAGCTGAAATACCACTGCTCTAAATAAGCCAATCACATTGCAGAAATTTCTCATGTAGTAGTATAATCCAATATCAGCAATGTTATTGAAAAAATCAGTTATTTCAGATAAAATTAATTCTAAACCCTAATTTAAAGCCAGTAACTTCGGTGCGTTTATTTACAGTGTTAAAACGCAATTTATTTGTTGTA